CTGCATATCCAACAAACATACTTCTCTTACCTCTGAGTCCTAACTTGGTTCTTTTAGGATCTCGAACTCTATAATATGCTAAGCACCCCCACACTTTTAGATATGCTAAATTAAGCTTTCTTACTATCCATAATTCATACGGGCATTTGTTATTAACTCTAAAAACAATTATGTTATGTAAATGACAGGCTGTTAGGAGTGCTTCCCCCCACAGGTTTAAGGGTGCATTAGCTTTTAACAACATGCAATTTATCATTTCTGTAAGTGCTATACTTTTTCTTTCGGTCAGGCCATTCTATTGAGGGGTATAGGGAGCAGAATACTAATGTATTGTTCCAAATTCTTCACAGAAAGAATTAAACTCATTTTTAAAGTATTCAGCACCCCTATCACTTCTAAGGATTTTAATTTTCTTTTCTAGTTGATTTTCAACTTCAGTCTTATGTAGTTTAAACATGTCAAAGGCTTCATCCTTAGTTCTCATAAGATAGACATAGGTGTATCTAGAAAAGTCACCTATAAATGTTATGAAGTATCTCTTACCTCCTCTAGTTAATACACCATTGAGTTCACATATGTCAGAATGAATTAGTTCTAAAAGTCGATAATTTCTCTCAACACTAGGGAAAGGTTTCTTAGCCATTTTAGATTTTACACATATCTCACATTTTTCAGTTGATTCATTACTATAAGCAATTATACCAAGTTTGCTCATGTTCTTTGTGGATTTAAAATTCAAGTGTGTTAATCTATCATGCCATAAAGAGAAAGAATCAACAATATAAGCAGCAACTTTTCCTTCATTAATACTTAATTTGAATATACCATTACAACCATATCCCTTTCCAACAAACATCCCATTCTTGGATAGGATTAATTTGTCGGATTCAAAGACAACTTTGAATCCCCTCTTACAGACAGGATTTACTGAGACCAAGTTCTTTCTAATGTCAGGAACATGGAGAACATTCAGGAGAGTCAGTGTCTTTCCAGAGGTGAAGTTCAACTCTACGCTGCCTCTTCCAACAACTTTGGCACATGTTTGGTTTCCCATCTGTACTTCCTGGTCATCAATCACTTCTTCATATGTCTTGAACAAGGACTTGTCCTTGCAAACATGGACTGTGGCGCCTAAATCAAACCACATCCAGAAGACGATTCTGCCATGTTGACTTCAGTAATCATGGCCACTAGATTGTCTTCTACCATGTTTGCAGACTTGCTTCCGCCTTTCTGATGTCGGCAAACTCGGGCATAATGCCCCTTCTTTCCACAAACATAACAGGATCATTTGTTATTGTTGTTATTCTTGAAGTTCCCATCCTTCTTCTTTACTTGTAATGTAGGGTTATTCTTCTTCGATCCATTTTCTACAAAATTGACCTTAGAGCTCAGCATACCGGCCAGGGTCTTATCCCTACTGTCTCTAATCCGAGACTCTTCTTCAATACCAAGGTGTTGCTGAATTTGCTCCAAGGTAAGTTCTTCAGCCTTGTGTAAAAGCTTATTCCTATAATCCTTCCAAGAGGGTAGAAGTTTGGCAATGATTGCTCCCACTTGGAAAGATTCAGAAAGGATGATGTCAATGGATCGAATCTTGTTGATTATCACCTATAGTTCATGAACTTGCTCCAATATGGGTTTATGGTCGTTCATGGTGAAGTCAAAATATTCTGCAATAAAATACTTATTCGTACCTGCTTCTTGCACCTTGTATTTGAATTACAGGGCCTTCCAGATTTCTTTTGGAGATGTAAGTTCCTTGTAAAAGTTGTAGAGCCGGTCTGATAAGGCATTCAGTATGTGTCATCGGCACAGAAGTGAGCCATCTTCTCGTTTTGCTCTTTCCTTCTGTAGTTTTTCTGAGTCTTTGTCGGTGGGTTTAGAAAGTGATTGCAGATTCGGGTCCAGCAGATAGTATAGTTTTAGTGTAGTCAGAAAGAACATCATCTTATCTTGTCATTGGCTGAAGTTTGCTCCATCGAACTGGTCTAGTCGAACAAGATCTTGGTTCATCATCTTGGTCGAAGTCATGCTTGTTTCCACCTCCATTGCAGAATAGTGTTCTAAAATTATTGGAAAATGGGGTCACTGTAACTTTGGAGGAGAAGCTCTGAGGCGCGTCTGAAGACACTATCTTTAGAACGTTATTTGCCCCCACTCAGTTTCACTGAGTTTGCTATTGAGTTACAGGCAAATCCGTTCCCAAGATATAACAGAGCCTTGGACGAGAATCTGCAACCAACAAAGTTAAAGAAGAATCTTGAGAGAAACATTCTCTGAGACTGTAGCAGACCGAACTGAGAGAGAAAGAAAGTGGATTTCGAAAATGTGTGTTTTTTAAGTCTGATTCATGCTCCTTAAATAGTTTATGAAGATGTATGAAGAATATGTAGGTTTTGGTTCAGAGAAGGCACCTTGAACAGTAACAATTTCAAACATTGTGATTGTTTAAAAGGTAGTTAACAGTCAGAAGTGCGAGCAAAGTGCGCTTCATTGTGCCACACACACGCGCACACGCGTTGCATGGTATCAAACCCCCATACTCTTCTCTATTATTTCTAAGGAGTGTAAATAAACTCCTATTAAAATACTAAAAACAAAGCTTATAATTTTCCAATGTGGGACAAGTTCAAAACTGAGTTTTGTAAGAGAAAAGCTAATTTTTCAATCAAGTGTACAGGTGCAATTTCTCATACAATGGGATAGCCCATCCCTCAAACCCTAACCCCCCCCCCCCCAACTTGAATTGAACAGTCGGACCGTTCAATCCAGGAACCGGTCTCCAAAATGGTCCCGATCTGATTTTAAAAACCTTGTTTGAAACATAGTCAATGATATACGGGGCTGTTAATGGAATGCCCAAACTGGTTCCAACCTTCATAGGGCCTGTAGGCCCATAACCAACCCGGGTTATCTGGTCTGACCCAATAAGATCCGATTTTAATCAATGGGCCTTTACCTTAGACTTCTTGCCTCTTGTTTTTTTGGCAAACAGAAGCAATACAATGAGGAAGACACTGAAGCCATTCCTCCATACAATCTGATCCAAGCATTGACACAGCCAACAACAAATGGGCAGCAGAACTAAATAAATTGTCGATGCCTTATTCTTGCTTAAAATGTTTTATGTGTCATCTATAAAATGATACCTAATTCCAGTCTTATTATATTGGAACTCAAAATGCAATCGAGAACTGATGCTATCAATGATAGGGTCTAAAATGTCATTATATATACACACACGTTAGTGTAAGTTCATGTGTGCAAGTAAATATACAAGTTGCCACAGTTCACAATCTCAATACCGCCCTGACCACTCTATTCATGGGGTTGATCTAGAATTAAGCTACCAGATAATAATCTCCTCCTTCCTAATTGACTTTCCTTTTTTATATCTGTGTGATGAATTGATGATAGCGTTAGATCATCACTTATTCGTGATTAGATTGTGGTCCTTCTATCATATTCTCTTTTTGCCTTACCCCAAATTAGTTATTTGTAGCCCTCTTTGTAGGAACAGTTGGTGATCGAGCCCATGAGAAACGATAATAACAACAACAGACGTTGGGTGATCCCAACAACACGTCTATCTAACAGGCCCACTAACGTTGATTACATAGCCCTCTAAAAGATTGTCGGGTTGGGTTGGGTTCAATACTTAAATTGGTGACCTACCTCCATCAAATTTGGCCCTTATGATAGACGTAGCTAAGATGAGCCTACTAAATTGGTGGACATCATATACGTAATACGCTGTGACCATTGGCCAACATTTTATTTAACGATTTTCCGTTTATTCAGTAACCGGCCCACTCCAAGAAATAGAGAAATAGAAGAAAATCAGTGAGTGGCCCAGCAACTGAAAAGTCTTTAGTCTTTACACAACTAAACAATTGTGTTGTGTTCCTCTTTTTCACACGACGCCCATCCTCAATTCCTCGTTTTCCATAGGGAAAATCACTGATGGATACGGAATCAACCAAGTCCGAAATCCCTGGCTAATGCTAACCGCTCCAGCCAGGAGACTTGTACTGAAGTTGAAGAGCCTACAGAAAGGGAAAATGTACCGCAGTTTATGGATAGATCATCAATCAAACGGTCTGCATTGATGGCACTGTTTGTTTTGCGAATTGCAAGCAAGAAATAGGTGATGTGATGGACAAGTCGAAAGTCCAAATCCCAAATGGTACTTTCCTAATTATATTCCTAAAAATCCGGTTTGATTGTGCAAAATCTTCGATGAGGATAAACAATAAATTAAAACGTCCAATGCAGAATTCTGAATTCCAGCCCCCCCTACTACTACTAGTCCTCTTCCCCCCTTTAAACCATATCATGTTCGTGAATTTGACATCAATTCGGGGTTATAACGCTTTTACAGACTTTTAAACATTGAAAATATTTTTATCTTTTTTATAGAAAAATATTTCCAATACAAGATTACAAGCCTGCAACACAAGTCGATTTCCTGAAATCTACTGTAGGGAGTTTCCGAGTAGGGAATTAGGGATCCGATTAACCCGGGGTTAGAGGCTGTGTTTTATATCTAATGGTGATTTCTACGAGATCACATCTATGCCCCACAAACACCTCAAATGCATATCTCAGCGTGTATTAGAAATATCTTTTCAAAGTTGTCTGTTTCAATGCACGATTGGAATATGCTGTGGGGTTTATATGTGAATTCAATTTCCACCGTTCCACATTTTGAGTTCATATTAGGGGTGGCCACGACATACATACATGAATATAATAATGATAATAATATAAAATAAAATATATAAAACTATTATGAACTCATTTAATCCATTGTTTTGGACGGTTAAGATTTGCAAAAGAGAATTCACTATCGTTAGTAATAGAATGCCGCTTTTTGGTACTTTGTAATCAGGTGGTTTGGTTCCTCAGAATCCTCTATTCAGTTTTCACTTGTTTATCAAAAAAAACCCTCTTTTCACTTGTTTACCCATACACACAAAAAAAATAAAAGAAGAATCCACTTTTCACTGAAAAGGACCTAAAACGGGGTCAAGAGTCCAAACTCACGAATTATTTTTGAGAAGTGAAGAACCTCTTTGGCTCTTTACTCTTTCTTTTGAAAAGAATGGAACTTCACCGGAAGGATTGACAAGGCTACGGAGATGGAGTAGGTAGTAGTAGGGTTTCTCTCTCTCTCTCTATGCCTCTGAGGTCCTTGTGTTTATCTTTCGTTTCGGTAGAAGATAACGTTGCAAGAGAATTCCGAAGTGGGTTCTTGATCATTTTCGTCTTACGCAATCGGTTGAAGATGGTGGACTTTTCGCGGGTACAGAAAGAATTGGTGGATTGCAACAGGGACACAGCTATCTCTGGGGTCAGCATAATGCTCCTTGGAAACGATCTCTCTCATCTCTCAGGAACCATCACCGGCCCCGTTGCCACTCCTTATGAAGGCGGTACTTTTAAAATCGATATCAGATTGCCCGGTAAATCTATTTCTTTTTATTAATTAGGGTTTTAGTTTCTATTTCTTGTTACATTTCATTAATTTTATTGAATTTTGATTGAAAAGTCTTAACTTTTAGGGTTTTAAGTGCCCTTGACCTATTCGTTGTGAAATAACTTGAGATATTTACTCAGCTTGTCTCTTGCGCTTTGCTAAAATTATGAAGATTAAGTTAGAAATACCTGTAAATTCTTCAGTTTGAGATTCTTATAAATTTGAAGGGCAGTTAATTGCTTAATCCAATCTCTTTGATTGGGAATTGGAAAAAAAAAAGAATTGTTGAGATTACTTGCTGGGATTTATTGAAGCCACTCACCCCTCTAAAACATAGACGGATTGCCTATAGGGTTATTTTAAATGTCCAAACATTGATATTTCGTCCTTAACTTCATCTAAATAAATAAAATATAATGATTCTTTATTCATGAAAAAAATAACTTCACCTAAATAAAAAAAAGGGAAAAATGTGGGCCAGACCAATTTGGAAATCAAGCAAAATCTATCCTGGTTTAGCTACAAAATGATAAGTTAATCATTTATCACAGAACATGATTTAATTCTGTTATCTTTTATAATAGGTTTAATGTTTAGTATTCGTCAGGAGAGAAGAAAATTGATTCAGTTTATGACAACTTGACAAGTAGCCTTATTAATGTTGGTCTTTTTTTTTGGCAGATGGGTATCCTTTCGAGCCTCCAAAGATGCAATTTATGACAAAAGTTTGGTATGGATCTCCTACAACAATGACTTGTCCATTAGTTTGTTCTCTTCATTTGTTTGGTTCTTTAAATGCCTACCTGGTTGCCAACTCTATGTTGGTACTATGAATCAATTGCACTTCAGAAGCAGACCATCTACTGTGGAAGGTGGACACATGGCTAGAGAGAATATTAGTGGAATTTCAATCAGAAATTTGTTAATTTATCCCGCTGCCTTAGGGGGTGTTCGACAACATGGTTGGTTTTGTTTTTGAAAACAAAACAACTGCCATATCTGTAAAAACAATACAATTTTGCTGATGTGGCAATTTTTGTCTTCAAAAACAAAATCAACCATGTTGTTGAACACCCCTTAATTTTCTCTCATCTCCATGGATTTTGCACTGGTTCAGTGCTCTGAAGCTTGAAGTTTATGTCTTTTCTTTGCCCATTGAGGGAGCTCCCTTTCCCTTCCCCCTCCCCCAAAGAAAGAGTTTCACTATTTGGTTTTTCTCATCTCAATATGTTAAACATAATGGTTACTTTAGTAGTCATGGTCTGAGAGTTTCTTTTTTTTTTTATGGAAAAAATTATGTTAAAGTGCACATGTTGCATTGTGTCATATCTTGTTTTCCATGGCACGTTTTTTCACTAATCATCTGGCTGTTGGGAGTCTGATCTCCCATTACCTATTTGTGTTTGCTCTGGTGTCTCTCCTCTGCATGCCATGATTACTACTTGGACGGTTGGACCTACTGTATATTAGAATTATTAGGATATTTAGAACTTGGAATTGATAGCAACCTCTTGTAAGTAATACTAGGC